GAGGTCAGAAGCATTTGCATGAGAAAAAAAGTTTTGCCAACCGGCCACACTTGCATGGTTTTCCATACAAATCCTTGTAAATTTTAAAATTCTCAGTTTGCAAAAGTACAGGTTCAAAATCGTCAATTATTATTTCTTTACACACTTTCACGCAGTTGAACTTGATCGGGAATCAAAGACAACAGTTTTGCCTAGTACGAGCAAGAAAGCGTGGAAGAAGAAATAGTGGATATCCTTACTGATGACAAATAACAACTCGTCCTCATCTCAGCTCTCAAGGTTTTTCTCTGTTCATTGTTGACTTGATTCATTAAAAAAGTATTGATTTTTTCTTTGAAGACCTGGCTTTAAAACCTAATAAGCTTAGCTTGCTGTTAATAGAATTCCTCAATCATCTTGAGGTTTCTGTCTTGACGAGATGAAGGTGACAAAACCTAGTATCTAATTGCTCCGGAAGTCAGATATGTTGCTTGACCAATCAGTGCAGCGCTCCGAAGGATCTTCTCTGTTTTTCAACCAATCAGACAAAATTCCAGATTCTGGACTACGGGCAGACGACATGTAAAGTAAAATTTACTTTACGCATTGTTATTCAAATGAAAAAAATCGTCAATAATTATCTTACACACTTTCAAGCAGCTGATTTCGATCGGAAATAAAAGACAACAATACGGCCTAGCATGTGCGTCTAGGCTGAGGCGTCTGCCTAGGCGTCCTTTTCCCCTCGTCTCCCAAACAAAAAGGGAAGAAGGACTGCTTGATCGCAGGTTATATAGATGTCTGCAGTCTTTGTCTTGCTAAATTTGCTTTTAGCCTATCAGTTACTGTCACTCAAAGAAGTGAATAAAACTAGGGTGACCCACTATTGTGACCTGTGTTCTCTCTGTACTTTAGGTCAATACTGGGATCAATTCTATTGAGTTTATTCTTCAATATCCCCATTGTAAAGTAACAGGTGGCAACGAGGCTGGAGTTGACCTTGTTTTGATACAGTTCGACTCTGCCTGCCTCATAATGTGAAACATGTTGTTCTTATGCTGACTAGTATTTTTATAAGAAAAATTTACATTCGAAAAGGAAGGAGGTTTGTATCAAAACAAGATCAACCTCAGTCTCACGTTCAATCAAAGCCTAGGACACTAAGCTCATAACTCATGATAACTGTACGTGTGAAATGACCTATTTGAATTTCCCGCGACAAACATAAACAACAGTGCCAAGTGTTAGAAAACCACTCCCTAAATCTGCCAGAAACTAATAATACAACTCTTTACAGCCCAACCAAATTTAATATTTTGGAAAATATGTCAATCTTACCTGTGAGAAGCCTCGTACAGTTCAAGTTTCAGGGGTCATCTCTTGAGGACTGCAGAAACACGTGGGTCATTTCATTTCAGCAGCATTCAGCAATATTTCCCAACTACCTCAGCGTAGTCCGCCCTTAAAAACCAAAGAAGAAGTAAATAAGTATTACGAAGACAGCAGCGACAAAATATAACAATATTCTTACATTTTTACTCATAAAATGGTAAAAAATGAAGCAATTTTTCATCAGTGCATCATGGCGTTCGCGCCGCTTCCGTTCTCGTTCCCAGAGCCTCACGGCAACAAGGGTTTCCCTGGGAAATTATAGCGGCCAGCAATGCGTGCAAGATTGTCGTCCCTCGATCTTCTAATATCCTTCTGACAAAATTAAATTAAATACGATAAGAGGTTTTTAAAGTAAAAGCTACTTTCTGTTACCTTTTTTTCTTACACTCGTCATCTTTTTCATTGTATTTGTGAAAAAATTACCACATGCACTCTTATGACACCAGAAAAGCTACCGACCTCGGGGAAGAACTTTTCGACGGAATTGAGTCCACAAGGGAATTCTGGTGCCGTTTTCTTTTGTGCGTCAACATTATTGAAAATTTGACCAATCGACACCCATTTAAGCTTTCGAAAATCAGCAAAAGATCGTGCATGCCGAGGACTATCCAAAATGAGAAGACCACCAAAATGTTTCTGGGGCAACGTTTTAAGAGTTTCAACAGTTCGTCTAGGAGGTGAGGGTAAATAGGTTTTCGAATTACGGATTTTTGCAATAAATTTATCGGATCTGCAAATTTGAAAAAAACTGCGTATCGCAAATCAGCTGAAATTTTTAGCGCGATTTTCAGACTTTATCTATCCAGAAGTTTCGTTCAGTAGTTGAATCGTCAAGTTTTGGTCGGCTCTTGTCGGCCTGTAGGTGTTTTGTTGACCATTTTTTTCTCTTTCACTTATTTCTAGGAGTGACTATAACCAATTTCTGTTAGGGGTTTTGTTTGACTTGAGAGACCATTTCTTTAAAGAAAATTTCCTTAATAACATCTCTAAACACATCCGCTGAACCACGCTAGATTCACCCAGGATTCACCAATTGGTCAAAAGTACTCAATAAATTGATAATAAAGATAATACTTCTGCGCCAGTTACTACTACTACTACTACAACTAGTACTACTACTACTACTACTACTACTAATGATGATGATAATAATGCTAACGATAATAATAACATTTTTGTCTGGAATCGGGTATGGTTTTCGAGGGTTACGGGGGTGTATGGACGTATTTGTCGTTTCAATTCCATCAGAAAGAAAAAGTAATATGCTAATTCGAAATGGATTTTAGGTAATCTTTTTGTTTGAGCGCCAGTCTAAAATTGATGACTTAATTTCTACCTGTACCTACACCAGGTCTGAAAACAGGTTTGAATTCAAGAGGGCCTGGTGTGAAAACGCGTGTGGAAAATAATATTTTTCAGTCTGAAATTGGATCGGGACTTGGAGAACCGGGCGACACACCCCCACTAAAAATTCCCGGGAATACCTGCCCGGATAAACAGGGAGTAGACTTTTGATTTAGCCTGGTAGTAGGCGTTGTTTTTGGTGTGTTTTTCGTTCGCGTTACGTAAAGTGCGAACAGCTGAACAGATGTCAAAGCCCGGCCCCCCGGGTGTCAAAGGAGAAAACGATTTGGACGGGGCTAAAGAAAGAAGTCACAGGGAAAAAATAATAAGACACCTAATTGACGTTGTATGTGGTCAAGATGTGATCATGCCAGGAGTGGCACAGTCGAGCCCGGCGTTATGGATACCCGCTTAATAGGGACAGCTCGTTAATACGGAAAGTTTTTCTTATCCCTAGCCCTTACATTTTCTCTAAATTCAACCCGCTTAATACGGACACCCCGTTAATATGGACACTTTCTAATGCCCCCTCAGTGTCCGTATTAACGGGGTTTGATTGTACTGGTTTAAGGTCACGCCAGTATACAGACAAATCCCGTTAATACAGACCTTAGAACATGTTCGTATTAACGGGGTGTCCGTACGTATTTAGAAGAGATGTAACGGCTTTCCCCAGGGACAAGGAAAACTGTCTGTAACAACCAGGTGTCTGTATTGCGTGGGTGTCCGTAAAGCGGGGTTCGACTGTACTTGAATTCGATAACATTCTTTATTATNGCCCCCCGGGTGTCAAAGGAGAAAACGATTTGGACGGGGCTAAAGAAAGAAGTCACAGGGAAAAAATAATAAGACACCTAATTGACGTTGTATGTGGTCAAGATGTGATCATGCCAGGAGTGGCACAGTCGAGCCCGGCGTTATGGATACCCGCTTAATAGGGACAGCTCGTTAATACGGAAAGTTTTTCTTATCCCTAGCCCTTACATTTTCTCTAAATTCAACCCGCTTAATACGGACACCCCGTTAATATGGACACTTTCTAATGCCCCCTCAGTGTCCGTATTAACGGGGTTTGATTGTACTGGTTTAAGGTCACGCCATTATACAGACAAATCCCGTTAATACAGACCTTAGAACATGTTCGTATTAACGGGGTGTCCGTACGTATTTAGAGGAGATGTAACGGCTTTCCCCAGGGACAAGGAAAACTGTCTGTAATAACCAGGTGTCTGTATTGCGTGGGTGTCCGTAAAGCGGGGTTCGACTGTACTTGAATTCGATAACGTTCTTTATTATTAGAATTGATCATTATGCATGTAACATGGAGCTGTCGGGGGAATTACTCCATTTAATGGCAGCCTATAAGGGGAGAATCCACACGAAAAGGGTACCTTTTTAACCGGTTTTTTTTCAGAGAAAATTAAAGGATAGGGATTTCACTAGTTAAACAAAAGTTAAAGTGCATGAAAGGGTAGGTAAATCTATCATTTCGGTGTAAAAATGACGACGAAACTTCCTGGTTTATTGATTTATTCATATTAAAATGACGGGACAGGGAAGCACTGTTCTAAACTAGGTATTTGAAAGGGGTACCATTTGTCAATAGACTGTCATGAGGGGTACGTTTTCTGTGGACAAAAATAGTATTTAAAAGAACAAGGCGTTGGACTTCGGGCGGAGCACCCCAGTATAAAACTTTGTTGACTGCCGTTTTCCATCTCATATTCTTTGCAGGATTGATTTCACTTAGAGATTACTATACACGAAGAGAACCTTAACTATAGCAAGACCGAGTGAAGTATGTATCTAATTAACACAACTGCATTTTTTTAGGCCAAATGTATAAAACGTGAGTCTCATTTAATTTCAGAGCTAATTCTCTCTTATTATTTTAACCAGTATGCCCGGACATGCCTATAACCTGATTCTTATATCACTTCATGGAGAAAAATCTATCCTGTTTATGTTTAATCTTAGATCTTTTTTTGTTATCAAAACTAAGAGAGAAAAATCATCCCCGGTGACGAATTTATAAAATATTCAAGTTGTGGCACAAACATATATTGTATAATGTCGATTGCCGAAAGTTTGCTTGCTATTTACTTTATATAATGATGTACGTGGCTTAAGTTTTATTTTCGATCCTTTGTCTTGGGGTATGGTAATGTATGATAATAAGTTTGTATTGTAAAAATGGTAAGTCAATATATATACTCTATATTTGCAAAACTTCGTCTTACGTGACCTTTCATTTAGATTTGTCCACTTTTCTATCGCGTCACAAA